ATGATAGTTTAGACAGATTAAGATCTAAAGATATTGTTAAAAGACCTATTTTTAAAGAAATTGCATTTACAAGTAGAAATTATTCTAATAAAATAGAAAGACTTATTGAATTAACAGATTCTACAGCTGCAGGGCAAGAAAAAACTTTATATGAGTTAGAACAGAAAATTGGTGATAGTGCTAGTATTGTTCGAAGTGTAATAAAAGAGTCAACCATACAAGAAATTATCAATTTCTCTCAAATTCTAAGCTATTACGACAACGAAAATCGATACTTTCTTAAATTTGGCCCCAAATATTAATAAATCAATAATTCAGCTTTTCTCAGACATAATTATCCTAAAATATCTTTTGACTATACAATTTTTAAAGAAGAAGACCTTTTTTATCTAGCTTTAAAATTCGGCATGATAGACACCATATTCGTTCTAAATAGATCCTTTAGACTTTTTCCGCCCAAACTTAAACATATTCTTAGTCAGTTAAAAGATTACCCCTTGATGATTCAATTTATTTTCAGACCACCCATTGTAAATAATGACATAATAATTCCAGCTTACCATCATATTCGAAGGAGCCAAAAGATTTCGACCTTCCAAAAAGACCAATATACAGACAAAAGTTAGACAGATTGATTACGAAAGACGAATTTCAGAAACCGTGGCATTAATGGAAGCTCGAAGTAATAATTTCAGACTCGTAGCTCAATGGAATAACGGAGTTATTTTCTGTCAAGAATATCTTGCTTTAAGGGTTAAAACGGAAAAAATTCCAGCTCCTAATTTTGAACAAAAGCAGCTATATCTGATGGCTTTTCAAGAAATAAATGACGAATCAGCATAAAGACAATCAGACACAGAAGAAGAATACATTTCAAACGACCAAACTAATGAAATGGGTGAAGATCTAGAAAAAGCTTACATAGAGATGATGGACAAATAGAAAGAAAAGACAATAGACATGCAAATGAGAAAAAAGTGAAGAAAAACAAAAGCCAGAAGGACAATTATCATGCCAAAGAAGTCAAAAAGAAGGATCCAGAAGATAAAATTTTCAGAAGGAATCTCACGGGTGTAAAAAAAATTTAATGCTTTCATTACATACCATACACCTGTAAAGTGATAACAGTAATTAAAAAAAAAAAAAAACGTGATGTACTAACGTCTATAAATATAGACATCACTCACACAATGAGGAACCACCTAGAAAAAATAACAGCATAGCACACTATAGCACTTACACTAAAAAATAAATTTGAAGATTTCAGAAATAAAAAGTAAGTTCTTTTTATACTTTCTCTTGTTAACAATTTTCGTTTACTTTATCTAATTTTTGGGCAAGGCCTAAAAGGGGAAATACCAAAAAAGTAATTAATTTATTCAAAAGCATTAGATTATAATTTTCAAATAATCATAACGCTATTAGCTTCTTTATTCTAGATTTCATGACCAAAAAGATAAAGGATTATTCTAATGGTACATCACCACTTACACAATGGTGTCCATAATGGACACCCGGTCACCACTTACACAAGGGTGTCCATAATGGAAACCTGGTACCTCCTCATTGGAGGGAGTGCCGACCCCACCGACCCTGCCTCCAATGAGGAGGCGCTAATGGACACCCCGATGTAAAAGGTGATGTACCTCTAGCATCTCCCAAAGATAAAGTAATCCTCTAAGTTAAACTGAATATTCTACATATCAAGTAAGTTTGTTCAAAACCTTTTAAACATGATGAAAATATTTTTTGGTTATAGTCTTAAGTCTTTTTAGAAGGTCAAGAAAAAAGATGAGGTAAAGTTTTTTTTTTTTTTTTTAAAGAGTATTTGAAAAAATTAATTTGTTGAACAGTAAAGTACTCTAAGACCATTACAAATATATTTTTTTTCTTTAATTTCAGACAAATTTTATGCATTACATTTTATGCCATTAGATGATTATAAATTGTTTTATTGTTCTTTAGAAAGTTTTAAAGAATCAATTTAAATATCTAGAAAATTGAGAAATATGTAGTTTAGTTATAAAATTTTTTCTTTAATTTCAGACAATTTTTATGCATTACATTTTATGCCATTAGATGATTATAAATTGTTTAATTGTTCTTTAGATAGTTTTAAAGAAGCAATTTATATCTATCTAGAAATCGAGAAATAGGTAGATTAGTTGTTATAGGAAGCCACATATTATCCGCATTCGATAGAAATAGAGGTGACACCTCTTTACAGATCAAGAAGCAAATCACTCAGATTTCTATCGCTCAATGTCGGAGTTTCTTGATAAAAGATCCGAAAGATTGTAAGAGAAGACAAAAAGCTATAAGTTTGGTAAGAGAATATATATATATATAACATTTTGTACAAATTAATTATTTAAGGTCACGTCTACGTGAATATACCTCTTTTAAAACACAATTATCATCAGAATCATGATTATTATTGATATGTGTATTGAGTACCTCTTGAATAATATCTTCGTTAGTATAAGATTTCATTACCACGTTATTTTCACTAAAACAGTTTAAAAGATGCTCGATAACCATCACATTTTTGTAGTGTAGATAAAAAATAGCTTCACACAATTCATTAATTTCTTCATCTTCACTAACTTTTGGTTAAACATCAATATCTTCATTTGATTAAATCTTACATAATTTTTAGAATAATTCCTTAAGTACAGAATTGTTGCCAGATTTTGTACAGAATTTTGAATTGGAAAAATTCTGTACGTGTATCTGTGTTTTCCCTCCTCCGTGTTTGAATCAAGTCCATCAATTTCAAATTTCTGTGTGTATTATGTGAAATTTCCTTGTACTTGTAGCATAGTTCTAATTTTTAATTTCAAATAAAATGCTTAAGAAATTTGGAATGATTGGGGGTCTTAAATTAAAACTACTTGAACTATTAATATTTCAAGCTATTAAATTTTGAGACCATGTACATTAATATTTCCTCTTTAATGTATGTATGTGCGTGTATTTTTGTGTGTGATAAATGTAATTTTTACACTTATTCGGGACCTAAAAAAAGGACATTTGATAGTATTTTTGATAAAATATATTCTAAATTGTTGTATTTTATGTTTAATAGGTGAAAATCTATAGATGGAAAAGAAATTGAATAAAGGAAGCAAAATGTGGCGAAAAATGGCAAAATATAAAGTATAAGGACCAACTTGCATTTTATGAAAGAGTTGAGGATTTGGAAAGCAAATATTAATTAATGGGCCTCAATTTGGATGGATTTTGTTGGATTAAAAAAGGTATGTTTATATATATATAAATATACACGCGCAGCCTAGGAAAAAAGAGGGATGCCGAATCACGCAAAAAAAAAAAAAAAAAGAGAAGAAAAGAATAGAGAGGCAGAAAGCTGAATTCCAGAAGCTGGGAATTGAAGTTGGAAATATTTGCCAAATTATATATACACACATTGGCACAGCAAACGGAGTGGCTGAAAATTGAAGTTGGAATTAACAAAAAGTGGGCAGCTTTGTAAAAAGAGAGATTGTGGCTGAGTTCGTGTATATATATATATATATATATATATATATATTATATTCACGAAGAAACATAGGAAAAACAGAATTAACACCAAATTTGTTCACGTTTCGTCAATTTTCGGTGATTTCGTTCCTCTTCTGCGTGTTTAATTTCAATATTATGTTGGACTAAATTTTTACATTACTAAAGATATAGATGAACCTTTGTTTTGAAATTTTTAATATTAATTAATTATTTTGATATTAATTTGTTTGAATGCGTGGATGTTTATTATGATTTAATTTGCTTTTCAATTAATTGGCCATTAGTTGAATTATTTTTGAATTTTATTGTTATTGAGAGAGACAACAAGATTTTAGCACGTAGTAATAAATATTGTGAGGTTCGATAGAGGATAGAGATATACCTCTATACTTTGCATGATTCATAAAGATGTTCTAGTTCGTTAATGCATTTATCATATTCGTATTTTTCATTGAGAGATAGGAATGTCGCATGAGAGGAATAAATTTGATTGCTATCGAGAGAGACTTTCAATTATATTAGGAACATTGACCAACTCGCGTGATAACAAAGAGTCATTTTAATTGTTGTACTAAAAGTAGATTAACAAGGGGGATTCTACATCTTAGCAATGCATCTCAATAATTTGATAAACTTTTACTTTGATTTCTATTACGTGATTAATTAGATATAGATTTATTACAAATTATTATTACTATTCGATTAAGGGTATTATTAACTTTAACTCGATCAAACACGTAGTTCTCATGTGTTCTACACTTTACACACTACTATATTAGTTGATCACGACCCCGTTCACTTGCGGTAAATCAAACGACCAATGTGCTTACATGTATTATAAAAAATATAATACAAATTATAAAAGTACTCTGTAAATTAATAAATATTTTATGGACGTTTATCTATACTAGGTGCAAGCAACGTGCAATGCACGTTTGCGTAGTTTATATTTAATAGTTTTGTTTAAGAATTAATTTGTTATTAATAAAGATATAATTTTTTTGGTTAATTAAATAATTAATGATGTACTGTTTATGTAATTGATAAATAATTAGATGTGTGATTTTGATGTTGTGAT